CAACATTCTGAAACAAAAGTTCATGGAGTAACCTAGCAAAATTACAGTATGTGTTTTATTAAGATTGGATTAAACCCACACTTCGATCTCATTATGAGTCAGTTCAACGATTTTCATTATTCTTCCAAAATTTTCGTGTTTATCTCACGACGTTACTACTTATAGATCATATAATTACAGCTTGAATGCGACTTCGTCATAGAAGTTAGAACTGGGATAGAATTTTTGAAAAACCCATAGTGTTGAAATCGCTAGTTAACTTAAACATTTTTCGTAGTTCAAAAAAATGCTACATTTGCTACTAACCATTCCTACAATCGAGGCAAGAATTGATTCATCTAAGAACATCTTCAGGCTAGTAGAAATTGATATTTTATCGATTTACTACTTTGAGAATGTTCACTTCAGCCAATTTTCGGGCAAAACAAAAACATTTTGCTTTTCTCAATCATTTTACAAAAGCATCAACATCAATCAATGAATCCTCAGAGCATCGTCCACAAGAACGCTGGTGACGTTAAATATTCATCGAACTACAAAATAATCAACTGTGCTAAATAACAGATTGCGAACGGGCAGACAAGATGCATTATTGCATTACCATTTTAGATGACATCTAGATAAAAGGTATGTGTGCAAGTTATTGATAGCAACGCTGTACTCTTGTATAATTTATGAGCTTCATCCAAGGTAAAGAGTTCCTTTTCTATACTATTCTATATCTCATACGGACGAGAGGAACAAATATTATTCAAACTAAAGCAAAGAATACTTTATCAATCGTATGTAAAATAATGATTATTGACGAAACAAATTTTCAGCCGAAAAAAATTATGTTATCAAAAAAAGCTCTCTTCCACTCTTTAATATATAGTTCATTTTATACGAAACTGACCACATTAAAAAAAAGTGCTTTTTCAATTAATTTAACATAATACGTATTTTCCTTTGTATAACATAAATATTTCACTTTTGCAGAAAATTGTGATTCGAGAATCATTCTATTATCTGTTCAGTAATTATATATTCGTAGGACATACGACAGATAAAATAAATTAGAATTAGAAAAAAATATAATTTTAATATATTTTACTTGAAAACAAATGAACTTTGTACTTCAAAAGTATTTCATTTTATATCATTAAAACTTTATTCATTAACAAAAATATAATGATATATATATATATTATTATATAAACAATATTCTAAGAAAAAAAAATCACACAGCTAATAAAAGACACACACCACCTAAGACCCATTTAGCCGGTTTTTCTTTTGTACGTAAATTAAATGTCCAAACAAATGTTGGACCACGTTGTTTTGTTTTATAAACTGGACATTCATAAATATTCTTCGTTTCACGTCGATCAACTATAAAATAAGAAGAAAAATTTAATATCAAAACAAAAAAAAAAGATGAAAATCATTTGAAAAAAATTAATCTTTACCAGGAATAGCTTTAACAAAAACTACAGGCATCATTGGTGTTAATTCTTTTATTCTAGCTTCACTTAATTGACCTGTTTGTGTATCCCATCTTGCACCTTCCATAAAAAGTCCATGAACATATGCACCTTCACGTGGTGCACCACCTAATTCTTCACGACTTTTTTTCGTTACATCAACTGATAAACACATTTTATCTAATGGCCATTCATTTTTACGTGCTGTTGTTTGCATAATAGCTGTTAAAAATGATTGAGGATTAAATAAACCACCAAGCCAAACAGCAGCTGGTAATTGAAAATCAGCTGTCCATAATTCTAATTCTTTAATACGTAATAATAAATCACTATACCATAAACCAAGACTAAACATTGATGGATATGCACGTTTTGTCCATGCAGCAGGTACTTGTTCAAAAAATAATGCATCTTGTAATTGTTCCATATCAGCTGTTATTGTTAATTCACCTTTAAGACCAAGATTAAGTTCTTTTAATGATCGACGCATTTCTACTGTTAAGATATTCATACGTTCACATTCTTGTAAAGCAACAACTGTATATGGTGTTTTTTCTTCAGCTTTAGCATAAAGTTCACGAACAGGAAATTCATCAGGTAATTTATCCAAAATTTCATCTAATTTTGATTTTATTTTTTCTTCACGTGTCATGCCAGCACCTTCACCACCAGCACCAGCACCTGCATCACGTGGTTGCATTTCTAATACTGTTTTAAATAGATTTTCACTTGTTGTTGTTAGAAAATCAATTTCAGCATTTGGATGTAAACCATAGAGATAAGGTGATTCAGGTGGAAGAAATTCATCTATATAACCATGATAACCTTTATAATCAGTTGATGGTGGAATTGGAAAACTTGGTGCTAGATAAAGTTCACCATCAAACTAAATAAAAATATTCATAAAATATTATTATATAATATTATGCAATTGAGAATACGAACATATACTCTAACCTATGGATTATTTAATGATATAAAAATCTTTGTTTCTCTTATTAGCCCTAGTCGAAAAATTTTTCCCTCCTATCGATTCGTAGAGAACATAAACTTTCGCTTGCATCTGTTTGAGATCCGCGACAAGTCATTCTGTAAGCTTTCATAATTTTCCACAACTTCAAAATGCGATGAAACTTCCACAGACTGTTCTTCCACCTATAATATTGATAGAGTGTTTTACAGCTTTAAGTCGAAAATAAGCTATGCATCTTGTCCATGTCTATTAATCTTTCTCATTATATGATATGATACTCTGTAGATTAGTGTATATATATGTCAGTATTAAATAGAATTGTTTAGGATCGAAATCTCTGTTCTCATACCATTGTCGGATTCATATATTCTTCAAGATAAGTTTTACATAAACGACGATCCCAATCATCAGTAATATGACCACCGTACATAATTTCACCGAATAAATATCGAAGATCTTCCCCTATAATTCAAAGATAAAATCATTGATAATTGTATTCAAAAAAATAAAAATTTAGAAATTTAATTTACATGGAACTTTGGAATTAGCTTCTAAATAATTGTAAAGTACATTGACTGATATAGTAAGATCACCATTATTAAATGGATAATTTCGATTCCAACCTTGTGCACCGAATTTTCGTCTAGAAAAATCAAAAGATAAATTTTTATTTTTTCCAAATACAATGGTCATTTTTTGATAACGATATCCTAAAGCTGTTTTGCTTTCTATTCAGATTTTTAATAAGAGTAATTGATAGAAAAAGTGGTTCTCTTTCGATCGACACAAGACTAACATTCCTAAGTAGTTTCTTTCTAGGATCATAAGACTTTTCGTATGATCGCCAATTGACCTGTGATCATCCAAAACAGCATGCACCTGGACACGATTGATTCATCACAATGAATCATTCCTGCTTAGCTGTTTTTTCGGGTGATCAAATATCAATTGGCTGACTTCTCTCTTGAATGGTGAAAATCGCAGATCTCTATAATGTTTCCATCAAATATTATTCAAAAAACAATACAACACATTATATTTTAAAATGGATGGTATTTTTTTATCTGATAGTAGGATCTTTAGCGACTAATATATCATCTGTATAATATTACCTTTCAGCAACAACAGCATGGAAATAACAAAGAGCAAATAGAATTGATTTAAATTCTGTTTCTTTTGCACACATTTCAAGTGTATCTTGATTAAATAAATCAAGTGCTTTATGTAAATTAGCTTGCATTCCTGTTGGCGGTTCATTTGTACTATTAAACAAAAAAAAAGTTAAAAGAACAGAAAAAAATCATTAATTATGAATAACTTACATCTTAACAGCTGATTCAAGAATACCTTGTGGTATACAATGAAATGCTGGATCACCTGACGGTTCAGCCGACATATACATTCGAAAGCTTTCATGACCTGTTTCCGAACATTGTTCTAATTTCTTTTCTAATTGTGGTAACCATTTTGCAACTAGAAGAAAAAATTAAGATTTTATTTTTCCTTCCATTACTAAAAAAGATTTTCCAAACCTAAATGTATATTTTGTAATACCACCCAATGACCTTCTTTTGAAGCAATATCCATTGCTTCTTCAGCAACAATTTGTTGACCTAGAGATCGATTAAAATGAGAAAATTTTTCTTTTTAGATTTTGTTTTGATTTTTTAATTTTACCTTGACCAAGTGAAATATTATGAAAAGTTTTTTGATTTGATGTAAAACCTAATTTTTTTCCTAATGCTTCAACATCTTTAATTGGATCAACACCAGGTGAAAGAATAAAGAAGACAGGTGTACTTGTATTTGTTTCTTCATATGATTTATTAAATGGTACAGCACGATTTTCAACAAATTGTTTACCTAATTTTTCTTCAACAAATAAACTAAATTGAAATAATAAAAAGTAAAATAAAATAATTCTTTTTTTTTTTATAATTAAAATAAGTTTTTCGTTTACCTTAATGCATAAAGCATTCGATCAGGTCGAAGTGCACGCATCATACATAATTTTTGTAATGCAGTTTTATTTTTCCATTCTTGTGGTAATTTTTCTTTTTCAGGTGCTTCCATTTCAACATATTTTTTCCATCGTTTAGCTGAACCTTCAATATCACGATCAAGATTTGTAAATTCTTGCATTTGTGCTAAAGCTTTTATTCCACCCCATGATATATCATTAAGAAAATCAACTGGTGATGTTACATTAGGTACAACTGGATATCGAAGTAGAAAATCAAGTTCTTTTGGATCAATTTCTTTAGCTGCAAGTAGAATCTAAATATATATAAAAAAAAAAAAGAACAAAGACATAATAGAAGATATTGTTTTTCTTTTTCTTTACTAAAAATGACATTTGTGAAGTAAATATAAGTTTATGTTTTTCAAATAAACCACGAGTTGTATAAATAAATGTGAAATATGTTATTGAATCAATTAAATTATGTACGCGAACTTTAACATCATCAGCTGGTTCAGATTTTTCAATAGCATTAGCAAAAACAACTTTAAATGCTTTTAAAGAAAATTGATACATTGGATGTATACGACAAAGATCATTCATTATAAAATAGACTAAACTAGCACGTGCTGCTGCTGGACGATATAATTCTCGTGCTTCATCAATTTTCACAGATGTTATTTTAGCTTCACCAACTTTTTCTTCAATTTCAGTAGCAGTTCGTTTTGTACTTTCTAAATTTTCGACTAATTCAGTATCACCAAGAAAATTTGCACCAGCTGATGATAAACGAGCCAAAAGATTATCTTCAAGACGTTTTAAAGTAATCTTAAATTCATTCTGTTGTTTAGTTAAATCAGATTTTAATCGTTCAAGATCTGGACGTTCCTAAAAGAAAAAACAAAA